CTCTCTCTCTCTCTCTCTATATATATATATATATATATGTATATATATGTTTGTGTGTGTGTGTGTGTGTGTGTGTATGGATGATATCAATATATCGAACCTTTAAGCCTGAACTTCAAGTGATATCATGCCACAATAGCCAATTGATGGTTGATTTTTTAATAAAATAAGGCTGAGCTTTATTTCAAGGAAGTTTCCTTATTAATTTTCTTAAGAAGTTTGAAATTTTTATTCATTTATCTGTGGTTTACTATTTCTTAGTTTAAAACTGTGGGGTTTTTATTTTAGCTTTTTCTAATTATATAAAATCCTGTTTACCCCAAAAACCTAGGTGTCTATTACTGGTCCGAATTCCCGGTTGAAAATCCTTAATTTATTCGTGAATAATTGACTAATGGACTGTATATAGAAAAAAGCGATAAAATACAAAATTTTATTTCAGTTAAACTCATTTGCAAAGATCCACAGTCAGAAATATAACTGTGGTTCATATTTAATTTTAATTTTATTTATTTAGAAATATAATAATCTGTCACGTGGACAATAATTATAGTGAGCTGTGAACACATTCACACCATATATACAGAAAACATAAAATTAACAAAAGTAAAATAATAACTAAATAATAATCAAACAAGTATGTACAATCAAAAATAAAATAAACTAAAGATAGGTATATTAAAAATTCAGTCATACCTATATACAATATATACAATCAGGTAGGGAACCCCAAGCTAGGCTTGTCCCTTTAACAATAGAGGGAAAAGCAGGACTCCATGAGATCTCTGAGCTTCTCAGCAGCGTCACTGGTGCTAAAAGCCAGTGGTTCATATTAATGTTGAAAATTTATCTTAAAGTGTCTATCATCGGTAACCTAATGACAATGATTTTTTTTTTTAATAAGCAATTATCTATGTGTTATTTTTATTTTTTAACCATTTTTTCAAATGTTTGTTAATAAATATTTTCGAATATATTTTGATTTCAAAATCGCCCATTCATACATAGTCAATGTAATTGTTCTCAGCCTTGGGGTCCATCGGCAACTTGAATATCTTACCCGGCGATCGATTATAACGGATGTGCCTAGAAAATAGGTTTAGACAACATGTAAAAAAAAAAAGAAGTGTTTACCTAGGGCAGAAAGTGGGTAAATGAATAGCCTTTGAGGTTGATCATTATTAGGTGAACGGTGGGGAACAAACAAGGCTTGTTGGGGCCCCAAGGCGACCCTCTGATAACGGGGCTAATGCATAGCAAGTAGCTATGAGGTCCCATAAAACCAATACCGTATTCCCAGCCATCTGGGGACCTACCTCTTCATAAATTTATTAATTGTTAATACAAAAGATAAAATCAGAAACCATTTTTAGTGGCTGTGACGAGCTGGCCTGTCAGCGCTTCTTGGTAACCACTTTTAAAGCCACAACGTTTCCAAACCTCGTCAAATTGATAAAGCTGGCGAATTATGGGGACCTTAATTACACAGCGTGTACAGCTGAGATACCGACGAAATAATTTATACCCATAAAGCACCCGCTCGTACTCCACTTAACAGTTTAATACGCTATTAAAAAATTAAGTAATCTATTTTATAATAATAATAATGCAATTTAAAAAGGAAAGAGCTGGTATGCGTCTGATATATCATAAGAAGAAGAACAAAAGTAAATTCTATTCGGGGACTATTAGTCCTCTAATAATTATGAAAATGGAGAAGTCGCTAAGTTTCTAACACTAAAACATTACTATGTAAGACAGTTTTATTTATGATCCAAAATTACACTAATAAACGTTTGTTATAATTTTAATAACCTGCCCCATCTAAAGGGATGAGGTATGGAGCTACAGGTGACCATGGTGACCACTGGACCATGGACAACATGATTCGTAGCAACGAGAGGTTGGGTGACCCCCTCCAGCCTATCTGTGCTACCGCAAGCAATGTACATCTCTAAGGAGAACATGTTTCGCGGCCAGATATCTTCAAGTACAACTCACCCAGATACTTTTTAGATTTTATGTAATAACCTTAAGATTTATAAAAACTATTTCCAAAGCGTGATGTTTATGAGATAATTTTAGTATTTTTTTTTTTTTTTTACTTTTATTATGATATTTACAACTGTATTAGTATAAATACATCAAGTAAATTTGATAACAGAAAATAAAAACATGAAATGACTTGTTGAGAAACTACCCACTGGTAGCACTCTAAATTTTTTTTTTTTTTTTAATTTGAAATATAAGAGTGCTACCATTGGGTAGTTACTCAACAAGTGTTTTCACGTCATGATATCCATATGTTCAAATTTACTAAATGTATTTCTTTAATACAGTAGTAAATATCATTAAAAAATAAAAAATAAAATAAAATTTGAAAAACTATAATCGCCAATATATCAAATCAATATATCACAATTCTACTCTTTCTAATTACTAAAAATAATGTTTAAAGAAATGAAAATTAACAACGTAGTCTTCTTCTTCTTATTTTAACCGTCACTGTCGCTGGCTGTGTAGTCAGGTAGTGACTAACTTTCATCTTCTTCATCGTCAGATTCTTCTTTATCAATCTCTTTGGTCTTCTTGGGGGAAGGCCTTGGTAGGACTGGAGGTGAGAAGTTATCCAGCCAGAGTACATAATCTCTCAGACATAGCTTCCATCTGCTTTATGTATTTGATTGATAAGTTTCTCAGCAGCTTTCTTTTTTCCTTTTCTCTTGTTTTTCCTTTGGATTTTGGCTCAAAACGGAACTTTTCTCGCACTTTCAGCTTCTTTTTCTTTTCTCATTTTTTCAGCTTCCAATAACGCTAACCTTTCCTCCTTTTTCTTGATTTTATTTCAAGTTTCTTGCAAAGTAGCAATTTTTTTATTTATTTGGTTTTCCGCTCTTTTCTTTATCTTCTCTCTCTTCTCTGCCGTTCTTTTTCTTCTTCTTTTTTGACATATTTCCACCAATCTTATCTTTCACCTTTTCATTTTTAAACTATGGCTTGATTACTACTTTCTTGACTTCAACATCATCATCATCACATTTTTTAACTTCATTCTTTACAGTCTTGATCATCAGAATTGGTCTCTTCGAATACCAAACTATAAGGTACCATTTTGCAGGTACTGCCCACCGCACCGACTACCAGCAGTTAACGCACGAGAGCTGCTGGGGCAACTGGTGAGTTACTGGCGCCACGGAGTAGTAATAGCAGTCGTATTAGTAATCCCTTGATATTCGGTAATAGCTGATGGAAGGAAAATCAGCTTTTTTATATTTAGAGCTGGTTTGCCGATATTGTTTGCCTAAAGCTAATGGTATGTGATGAGTAGAATCAGACACTTTTATTAAGCATTATGATGTAAGGCTTGATTTGTTGCTTTGTAAGGTGAAACATCAGTTTTAAAAATCCGGTGCGGTAAACCCATCACACATCTTCACTTACCGCTCTCTTCTTGGCAGAAATAAGTATTTTCAGACAAGGAGAAATGAAAGTAAAAATAATAAACGCTATATTGATTTATATTTCATTTTGGGTATTTTTATTTGTTTTGTAACTTTATATGTAAAAATTTTAATATATATATATATATATATATATATATATATATATATATATGTATATATATATATATATATATATATATATAATATATATATATATATATATATATATATATATATATATATATATATATATATGTATATATCGCTGTATTCTGTACAATTAAATATTAAATAATACCAACGATAACATTTAGGAAAACCGCATATGTACATAATATTATCGGAGTCCATATTATATTGAGCTTATGTTACTATGAAAGCCTGTTCTAATCTTCGGGCGAGCTCGGGCGAGCTCGGGGGCGCTCTAGTATCCCTTTGGTTTCTTCATTACAACTATTCTCTGTTACGATCTCTTATGTATCCTTTAGTTAATTATAAAATTCTTTCATATTCTTTTATAATATTTAGCTTTTTTTTATATTAGAGGCCAATGTGAAATGATTCTTTGTTTCAAATTAAAGGTACTTTAGAGGAAGCTAATATTGAAAATTAGCCATTTAAGCTCTGTTAGAGAACATAAATGAGAATAAAACCTACATAATATTAAAAACTACTTAATTTCACACTGATATAATGAATTTAAACAAAATCGTTGTAGCCGTTTTCGAGAAAACAGTAAAAAGGGGTTCCATCAATTATATAAAGTGTCACTTCTGGTTAGCCGATTTTGACGAAAAAGGTGCTGTAGCATCTCAGGTATATACAAACCTTAAAGATGCAATTTCACTTTCATAATACTTTCCGTTTTTGAGCTAGACCTGTCACATACATAAATAAAGTACACAGACACGCGCGCGCACACACATACAGACATACAGACACACAGACTATTTTGGACTTGGTTATTTGGTCTCAGGAAACTTCAAAACATGTATTTTAATGGATTCAATGAAATGGGTTTCTACCTGGCGTTTATAAGGTACCAATTATTTATTTCCGATCAACTTATTCGAAGTTTACGAGCACAATTTTCAGTTTGCTATTTTCATCATAATCAAATACTAGTTAACTATATATAATAAACAAAATCCTTTCAAGTGATTTTTCTTGAAAATTGAATCTCCCGCCATAATTATTTAGATTTGCTTTAACCTTCTGAGGTTTCATGACGAATTCAATATATTTTATTTTGTGTTTATTTATTTATTTAAACATGTATCAAAATTATAAGTAGAGAAAAATAATGATATTCAACAAATAAAAAATAATTATTTAAGTGAAAATATTTCAAGCTAATAAATGATTTTTTAAATAAAAAGAAATATATTTTGTATAAAGTAACTTCATAATTTAAATTCGATGATTATTTACAAATTTTTACCTCATCTAACAATTTTATTAAAATTATAATATTATTTAAACATGTATTATTTTTCATTCAATTGGCAATCATTATAACCTCGCGTCGAAGGTTCGTAATTAGTCAGACGCCGCCCGCGCACTTGCTGGTTATTTCATGTTCGTTGTTTTGCTCACCTCGCCGGGTTTTTTTCTCGATCTGCAGAATGTTGGAAGAAAATATCGTAATGCCGAGAATTGTCTTTGTTCAAGGTTGCCCAGGAGCGGGTAAAGGTACCCAATGTGCCAATATTGCCAGGGAATTCGGATATGTACACATTTCTGCCGACGATCTATTGAGGGATGAAAGGATGAAACCTGAGTCAAAATATGGATCAATCATAGACTCTCACATGGAAAATGATACCGATGTGCCTGTGGAAATTACTTGTGAGTTAATTGAAATCGCCATGAAAAATGCTCAGAGCAACAGATTCCTCATTGACGGTTACCCGAACAACCGAGACAACTTTAAAGGCTGGAAGAGAGAAATGGGGGATAAAGTTGATTTGCTTTTCGTCTTGTATCTGGATTGCCCAGACATTGTTTGTATCCATCGCTGCTTGGAAAAAGGCAATAGCGACAGTGAATGTCCCGACAACAATGAAGCAACCATTAAGAAGAGAATCAGTACTTTTTACAATGACTCCCTACCAATTGTAAACTACTACAAAGGAATGGGCCTGGTGAAAACTATTGATGCCAGCCAAGCTGAAGAAGATGTCTTCAATGACATCAAAGCAATTTTTCATAGAATCAAAAAATAATTTTGTGAAATTTGTGAAGAAATTATCAATGTTTGAATGAAATTGTGAAAAATAAAATGTTTGTATTAAATTCTGATTAATAAATTTTTTAAATCAAATTTTATGTGTTGAATTCAGTGTTCAATAAATTGTTTAGTTATAAATTTTCAATTTATTTTATGACCTGCTGTTCATCAATTCATACAAGAAAATATTATTCTTTTAATATATTTAGTAAATTAAACATGTTTCAGGTACATTTGAATAACATAAATTTCCAAAAGATTAGTTTTTTATTTAATGGTTTGTATAACCGTGGCATGGTGGGGTGTTATGATGTATCACTCCAATTTTAGTTTATGTACTTGAAGAATAAGTATTACATTATTTATAGGATTGAAACCTACAGATTTTCAACTCTTGTTACTTATGAAAAATTTCTAATGAAATGTGTTTGATTTTAATATTAAAAATTGTTTGGGCCTTTTTCTGTAATAGTTTTAGAATAGAAAAATCAAATTTGTTCTTGGACAATGTCCCTTAAGAATAATAATGGTGTACCGACATTTATATTTATTGTTATTTTTAGACAATTGTTACAATTAGCATATTCCGCTACTATTTTTCAGATTATAAAATCATAGGTCTTTCACCCAACGCTGTATGACATTCTCATTCAGGCAAATCCTTACAATTAGAGCTAGTTTGAGGTTCAACAGTTTTGATTTATTTTCTGGTTTAAGATTAAATAGAAAATTAATTAATGATAAGTGAAAAATAATGTGATTGATAATTTATGAACGTTAATAATCAATTTATAGTACAAGTAGTTTAAATTCTTTAATATTAAAACAGAAGTGTTTTTAATGGCCATTGTATCTCATCACAAAAATGGTGAAACTAATGTGGACCTTCTTGAAAAATAAGGAATAAAACAAAATTAATAGATATTTGAAATAAAACGAGAAATTGGTAGAAATACCACATTGGCTACTCTTTTTGTAGGTATTTCAAGGAAACAAAACAAATTTTCCAGTAAATAGAAATCATAAAATCTGTTAATATATTTCCTTTTGCATTTATCTGTAAATTTAGAAATTAAGGGTGTTTAAGAATAGGTGATGCCTGTGTCAGGATGGAGAAGATACTTCACTAATGAATTGGTTAAAAACTTATGAAACATTGTGGAACATGTTACGAAGGCTGTTCAGTAAGAGATTATATAGCTTATCTTATTTTTTCTTTGCTTGAGACATTTCTTGTTTTCCTGGTGTTGATGGCAAATATAAATTCTTCTTGATTGCAGTTTATTTATTTTATTTTTTTTGGTTTGTTACACTGTTTAATGCTTTGGAATTTTTTTTTCATGTAATTGGAAATTTATGTTATTTTCAATTGCTGGTTTGTTTTCACAATTCAAGGAACTAAATTATTGATACAATTTTACATGAATATTTTGTATTGTTTTTTCTATTCACTACACTTTTTAGAAATATAATTTACCTCTTTTTCCATATACTCCTGCAGTTATTGTATAAAAGTTTTATTTTTGTTTTATTCATATATTTCGTATCTACCTAATTGGTTCATTAGTGGCATAATTACTCATTATAAGTTGATATATAAAAGTTGTTTGTTAATTTTCTATGATTAAACATATTGATTTGTTGTTCTTTTATTTTATGACTTACCAACAATTGGTTTTCTGTGAGCATTATTTGAAGTTTCAACCTCTCTATGCTTTTGTTTTTTAGTCCTATTTAGATTATTTGACAGCTAATATGATTGGGTTATCATATTTTAATATTGTTAACTAAGCACATATAAGATGTGACCAGATTTTAGACATCGGTTTTGTAATTTACTGTTATTCTTGGTTATGTGTATGTAATCCATTAATTTTCTATAATTATTTTTTTTATCCAATGCCTTTTATTTTTGGATTGTTAAGATTGAAGTTGTGCTGCATTTGTATAGTTTGTCATGCTAGGTGGTATGCTGGTATAGACATTTTTATGTTTTTGTGTGTAATGTGTTATACGACTCTTGTTTTCTGTTTCTTAGGTGTTTCACTTATAGACTTTTTATGACAATTTTGACATCTTTTTTTTTTAAATCTTCTTGTTTTTCTTCCTCTATATATCTTTCAGAGAAGCCTTAATCCATCAAATCCATTCTTGCATATCTTGTGAGAGCTATTTTATCTGGGAATGATTTTTCTCTCTTTTTTCTCCCAGCATGCCGACATATTTACTATATGTAATTCTAGGACTTTCTCACGGTCTAGTGCCAGAAGGTCTAGCACGGTCCTAATTCATCTAGCTTACATGACCAAACCACCGCAACTGGTGTTTGGGTGAGGTACTTTTAGTGCAAAGATCCCTAAGTCTTCCCTTATCCTTTCCTTCCTTACACAATCTCTTCTTGCTATATCTGCTACTATGAGCAAGTATTTCATCTCAACTGAGGTAATTTGGTCGACATTTTTGTCATTTGCTACTCAACTCTAACTTCCATATATCCGGGCAGGCAAAATACGGCTTTAAAAATATGGAGTTTAACTTAGTTATTCACTTCTCCTTTGCCTACAATGGTGTTGCGAATCTGAGAATAGCCCTTATTTGTCTTTTTTATTCTATTTGAAATTTCTTGATCCATTAGTCTATCCTTGTTAATTAATGTTCCCAAATAGGTATAACCATTAGTATTTTCCAATTGTTCTACATTACAGTAAAATTGCTCATTTCTTGTTTCATCCCTGGATACAATAACTACTTTGCCCTTAGAAGTATTGGTTTTCATGTTCCCACGCCAAAAGCTCTTTCTTCTACTCAGTTATAGCTTGTTGCAGTTTCTCTTTAGTATCTGCAGGTAGCACAATATCATCTGGGTATAAGAAGAATTTTGTGTGTATTATCCTGAGATTCCACTTTCCTATTGGTGTTCCTCCTTTTCCAAATCTTATGAATCTCATTCATAAGAATTATGAAGAAAAGGGGGCTGAAGCTATCGCCTTGTTTAGTTTAACTACTTCCATACAGAATGTTACAGATGATTAACCATTTACACGTACAATATTTTTGGTTCTTGATATGTAGACTTTATAGCATCTATCAGACTTTAAGGAAATCACAGTAGCTGGAGGGATTCCCATAAATTTTTCCTAGGAACAGAATCAAAAGCTGATTCCAGGTCCAAGAATGCAAGGTACATGCCCTTATCTCTCCCAGGAGCCCTTATGAATTTTCCAGTATATTTCTCGAGATAAAAATATTATCATGTGTTTGCCTTCCTGGGCAGAAACCAGCCTGTTCCTCCTCCAAGTCACCCCCAACTACTTCTCTTGGCTTGTATTGGAGGATAGATGTATACATCTTGTATACTACTGAAGAGAGACATATCAGCCTATAGTTGCTGTATTCACTTTGCTTGCCCTTCTTGTAAATAGGGACAATAATATTTATTTCCCAATGCTTTGGCATCTTCTTGCAGTCCCATACCTTCAGAAATAGGATCTGGTTCTGGTGAGAGCCTGTCATATCCTGCAGCTTTTGATGTTTTCCATGGCTCTTTCTACTTCCTCCTCCTTAATCGAATTGGTCTATTTTAATTTTCAAATTTCTAACGTTTTTTCCTAATTTTTACCATTATATAATCCTGTTTAATTTCTGGATAGCCATAGTTTTTAATTATTTTCTTAATGCTATCCCTTATCCTGGTTTGTAAGTCATTTTGTACTATGCTCATTCATTTATTCCTGTTTTTTGTAAGATGTATTTTTGGTTATTTTCCTTTGTGGTATTTTTTCTCTTAGGTTATCTCATCATTAAGCCATAATGTATTGTTCAATATTAGACATGTGGTTATAGTACACGTTTATCTTGATAAGATTAGAAGTGTTAAAAGATAAGTACATTTGGAGTTAATTAGTCTCTAGGTGATATAGATATTAATATGCAGTAAAGGTATTATCAATTGTAGTTAGTAGATTGTTCTACATATCATAAGTGATAAATAACCAGTACTCAGTAATTTTTGATAATGATTATTGCTCACATTTGAATCCAGTCATGTGGACCATCTCTAAGGCAAGTTAGCAATGCTCAAGGCTTGGGAGATTCTTGACTTGGGAATACTCAGAATCTGCTAAAACTTTCTGTAAGCTTAGCTTGAAGATGTGTTCAAACTTAACAATTACACTATCAGCGATTGCTAAGTCCTGATTAGTAATTTACTATAGTAGAGGTAGGTCGCTAATGAAAACAGAAACGAGAACTGGTGACAAAGAAGAGCCTTGAGAAGATCATATTTAAGAAGAAGTGGTGAGAATAATGATAGTGAGTAATAGACCATGATAAGAGAAATTTATGTTTGGTTTGAAGCTGAATGTGAATTTTTCAATTAAAAAAAAAATTAAGTATTTGATACCTTGACTTAATAATTTGCAGCCAATCGCTCAGACTTTAAATTACAGCAATCATTAAATTATAACAAGAACAAGGTTCAATCCCAATGTAATAAAGTGTGATATCAACGATAATCAATTGTGAACTTAATATTTTATATTTTAGAAAATAAAATCACTAATAAAAATATATTATTTAGTTATGAGTGTCAATACAATAATGTAATGATAGTAAATACATGACTCTCTCTCATTCTCTCTCTCTCTCTCTTTCTTTCTCTCTCTCTCTCTCTCTCTCTCTCTCTCTCTTTCTTTCTCTCTCTCTCTCTCTCTCTCTCTCTCTCTCTCTCTCTCTCTCTCTCTCTCTCTCTCTCTCTCTCTGTATATATATATATATATATATATATATATATATATATATATTAGTGACTGTCATATTTTATTTTTGATATAAAAAGTGAGACGGACCAAGACACCTGGATGAAAATCTCTCTTTAGTACCTAATAGTAGTATCTTTATTTAGTTGCTTTAGTAGGAGTAACACGGTTGAGGGAGTTGTGCAGGGATCTCATGGAGCCTTGCTTTTTTCTCCATAGTTGGAGGCACAAGCCTGCC